AGCATTTACAAACAATGGTACAGAAGGCTCTTTAGAAGAAGCAGACGAAGGTGGAATCTGAGCTGGCGTCAAGAGATACCGCTCTGTCGGGGAAGGACAACCCAGAAGACAGGGCTCCAGTTCAGGTGGGATCTCCAGTCCATACCGTGATGTGTCCCTGACCCTCAGCAAGTCATAGAGCCCCAGTTGAAGCTCCAAAGGCAGAATACACATCAGCCAGGTCCCTTCACCCTCCAGGGAAGAAGCTGACAAGAAGCCAGAGGGCATCTTCTAGAGATGCTTGCTCATCTCCTGCAGCCAGGAGGGAAGCAGTGGCAAGAGGCCCAGACCCCTGCCTGGAGACACAGGGGGCGAATTCGGGCCCTCGTTCCTCCACTTTGCAGGAGGACGTGCCACTATTGTGAGGATAATGATGGGGTGGCTCAGGGGCTCCTCTCAGGCAGTGGTGTGGGTTATCCTCAATACACCTTGCTGTGGATTTCCCACCAGCTGAGAAACTGTCACTGGGTTCTCACTGGCACTGCGGTAATAACGAGGCAGGGTAGAAATCAGTGAGTGAGGCAGTACTGGTTTAAGTAATATCAACCTTAATGTTAGCTTTGGCTATGCCTATTTTACTAAGGATCTTGGAGCATTTAATGAACTGTATTTAGGCTTCTGGATCTCTGGGGAAAGACTACCTTTAACTGTGGGGGGAAACAAAGAGCGGGGAGGGGGGTCCAGGCTGATTGAGCACACACGAAGGCAGAAGGCATTCAGCTCTCAGTCTAGCTGCTGCGCGGCAACGCTGCGAAGCAGAGCCACAAAAAGATCTCAATCCACGCACTTCAAGCAAACAAAAAATGTTCCTCTCCAAAGACAATACTCAAAGTCAAGGAGCTGAAATGAATCTGCCAAAACTTATCTGGGTAGAAATGTGATCTTTACTTTCTTCCCTCCCAAACAGTGTGGTTTTGTAAGCTTTCTTCAGCTTCTACCAACCCCTGCCAGAGCCTGCATATCTTCCTGTTTGAAGTTTTCATTATTTTTTTCACTGGGGAAAAAATAATTCATTGTGTATCGAGCTTTTACACAGGGACACCCAAATCCAGGCCTTCGTTCCAATGAAGTGAGCACCCCTGAGAGCGCCCAGGGCCCTGACTTCGCTCTAACTACTTTGCAAGCTGTCACATCAACACAACAAATACATTTGCCATTGGGAGAACACATTAAATGGAGATCTTCTGGTCAAAGTCTCACAAATGGACTAAAACTCCCATCCATCCTTATCATCCCGGAGCACTTAATAAAGTGTCAGGGCTTTTCATTGCCAAGTCCCACTAGAGCACAGCTAGAAAGAGCAGCTGACTCACTCACCCGAGCAATCAGCTCCCCGACCATCCCTGTCCACGTGCCGTTGGCCTCGGGGACTCCGTACACACCATCGCCGACAAGGTGGATCTTATAGTTGAACCGCAGGATCTCCGCCAGCTCCTTCAGCATGTCCACGCAGAAGCCCTCGTAGCGGTCGTTGCCCTCCAGCTCCTGATGGTTCCACTTCAGCATTAAGTAAGGGTTTTCCTGCATTGAAACTGGGCAGCTGTCATTCCCATCTTAGCCGAGGCATCCCACCAGCACGGCGCAGAGAGGGCAGGGGGGTCCCTGGCAGCGCCAGGAGGGCAGAGGCTCTGACAAGGGGCACCTGGGTCAATCTCCCATCCCGATACATCCATCCCAACAAGGGTATAAGAGATATGGAAAGCTGGTTTGATCACCTGGGAACCCAAGGTGGTGTAAAGCGAGCAGAGCTGTTTCTACACTGGTATTCATTGGCCCTTGCTGCGTTAGGGATGTGCTGGAGGTGCCCCAGGTAAGTCCCAGTTTAGGATATGAAACAGAGCTAAGGGATCATGCTTTAGTGGCTGTTTCCAACTGGCATATGCCAGAGCAGCCCAGCAGTTACTCTGAGTTATGGCAGGACATACAGAACCCAGCCTCTCTTGGCATATAGCCACTTCTCCAGTTTGTCCCCCTTTTCAACAAACTTTGTAGGACACAAGAAAACAGTGCCCTGATTTCTTCAGGATTTTGAGTGTCTACAAGGAAGGAGCAGAGGAACCAGAAAAAATCAAGGGACAGGGAGCACTTAGGAGGGAAATTTGTCAAATAAGGACAGTAGTGCCTATAGATGTAAAGTCTAGGTTCATAAAAGATAAAAGTTCTACTCATCTTGGCCAATTTCAGTAATTTTATGGGTAGAAGGGACAACTGTCCCTTCCAACTTACCAGCTGTACACAAAACAAGAACATCATTCAGAAATGAATGTAAAATGGCAACTTATCCCCATCCCAGCCCTCTCCCCAGCTGCTTCTGAACTCATCAAATATCATTTCCATATGAAACATCAACTTGAGTTTAATTACACTGTCATGAATTGTCCTCAGTGCTGTAATTAGAGATTTGATCGTCTGTTCTTTATGAAATCAGCGTGCAGTGCTGCATGCTGGGGGCCGAGGGGGGCAGGAAGAGGGAATAATGTTCTAGCTGATTGGCACCCCTAAGCGCTGGGCTGGCGAAGAGCTAACGGGAACTGTAGGTGACCCCCTCACTTACCAGGATGGTGGTGACAATGAGCGTGGTGTTGAACAGACTGTCTGATATGTTGGAGGAGAAGATCCTGTTGTCCATGCTGAGCCCTTCAGAGACGTGCCAGTGGCCGATCTGGAGAGATAAACAGCACAATAAGGGAATTTACAGGGCAAATTACTGCACGCACCCGCCATATGGCTCCGGTGACTGACAACCACCAGGCTGGCCCTGGAAGAGGCGTTTATGAACGCTCCATTACCTTCACAATGCCCCCCCGCAATGGGACGGCAGTCAGATTAACCCGCTGGTGCACGGCCCTGGCACACCCTCACCTGTGCGACACCGCCAAAAACCGCCCCTGCTCGCGGTGGGCGCTGCCCTCCCAACCGTCCTCCCTATGGCCACGGCAAAGCCCTGTGCCAGGAGAGAGCCGTGTGGTGGGCAGCTCCCTGGGACTCACAGTGGCCAAGCAGCCTTCTGCCTTGTCCCCAGATGCCACCAAGATAGGTTCATCTTATGCAGAAGCCCCCATGCAGCCGACACCTGCAAGTTCGTCCCTCTCAGCATGGTGCAGCTGGGAGCCACTGCTGTCCCTCTTGCTAAGGCATGGCAGCTGGGTCACGGCCACAGGACAAAGACTCGGTCATTGCTCCCAACCTGGTGCATTTTGGCTGACCCCTTCACCTCCTCGGTTCTCTGGAGGTCAGCTCCTAAAGGGGACAGGGGGCTTCAGAAAAGGCAGCTGGGAGGGCAATGCTATAGCTGGATTTTGGCTCAGCTGCATCCAAGAGACCCAACCACCAGCACACGCTGCAGGGTCGGCACAACACCCAGGTTTGGTGATGCTGAGCTCTTCACATGGGTGCCATGTGTTACAGACACAGCGTGGAAGAAATTCAGGAGGCACTGCAAGTCCCTTTGAGGAAAAAGCCACTTCACAGGGAGCATCACAGCATCACAACTTCCACGGCAACCCCAGAGCAGCAGCACTGACGTGGGGCAGACCCCTTCCTGCCCTGACCAGCAGCTCCACCTTGGCTGCAGGTGGTGAAATGAAGCCACGTTCTCAGCAGTGCTGCACCATGACTCATCTTTATCCGTTGTAATGGATGCCAACTACTATGATTAAGTAACGCCAAACCTTTCATTCAGGCTCATCACACCCAACAGCTCCATGGACAGCCTAATTCACCCATCCAAGCATCAGTGTCACTGCAGCAAGCCTAATTCCCACCGCCGGTGGCAGGGACCAGTCCCCCAGCACTCGGGAGGACATCGTGACTCAGCTGTGACGCAAGGCAACCAGCCGCTGCCTTCAGCCAGGGGGAGGAATATTCAACAAAACCTAATTTTAACTTCAAGAGCCTAATCTCCCTCCCTCGGAGCTCTGGACAAGGAGATCAGCACCTCCAGCAGCTTGCTCAGAGCATGCAAATTAGGCTCTCGCTCTCTTACGCTCCCTAGAAAAGTCTGTTTTTCCTCATGGATAGACCAGCACTGCAGGAGGCCAGTTCCCTTCGAGACCTCTTCTCCCTCCTTTTTCTCCTGCAAAGCCTCTCTGTCCCTGTTAGGTCCCAGTCCTCTGTATGATGAACTGCTGGCCACAGCCAAAGTCTGACACCACTGAAGTGAGCTGTTGTGACCCTAAGAGGTAGCAGGAGACTCCAACATACAGAAGGTGCCTTCTCAGCTCCTGTGTAGCCATGGTGCCGGAGCAAATCCATCCCCAGTCCCCACCCGCTGACATGAGCCGTCTTGGGCACTCTTGGTCTAAGTCAGGTTATCCTTTCGCTGTGTCACGGTTGTCAGGGTGGTAGGAGCAAATCGATTTCTCTTCCGTCAAAGAGTAATCTTATTACGTTCAAAGAGGTGGGCGGAAGGCAAGGCAGAGCTATGGGCCAGGCAGGAATGAATGGGAGGCACGCCGATTTACACCGCCCCAGGATTTACTCCACGCACTCATCCGCTTTTCTTGGCAGTGAACTGATGGCTTGAGGATTTCAGACTCACTTCCCAGCTTGTGCATCTGAGCCAAACGCAACCTGAACCTGCAGCCATGCTGCTGCACTGACAGCAGCCCGAATCGCTCTGGACGTTGAGGAAAGGGCCACGTCCTCTCTGCTCCTGCCCGTCGGTGCCAATCCAGCCCAAGTGACTGGCAAGCCATTACAGAGGCAGCCACCTGTGAGGAGTCCCACATCCAGCCTCCTCATTTCTAGGCATGAGGAGCAGTGGGAAGCACAAACAGGACAGCTTGCACTCGATGTCTGCTCTCCTCCCCGGCTGCAGTCGAGGCACGGGATGCAGCGGCGCAGGCAGAGCCAGTCGAGTCCCCAGGGGGGAAATGGTTTACTCTGCAGATAACACAACAGAGATTATTCTTCCCAGCTGTCAGACCAGCCCCTTCTCCAACATTAACAATGTACCTGTCATGGCAAGGGCCTCTGAATGTGCTGGAAGCATTAACTCTTGGACAGTGTGTGGGAGCAGGCTGGGAGCAGATCTTGGGCATCCTGTTCTCTGGCTTAACTACCATCCAGCTTGTAGCATCGCGGTGAGGCTGTAGTGCAGGACTCATCTCTGGGAACAACAGTCCCAAACTAGGAGATTTACTACATACTTCATGGTCAGGGAGTCCTTGAAGCGCGGCTTTAACCGGCCCGCGCAGGGTCTGCATCGGTGCGACGGGATGGATTTATCCCGGCTGTATTCCTCAAGTCTGCACAAAGGTGCTCGCCTCCTGCTGTGATTGCTAAACAACAGACCTTCTGCAGCAATTGCCTCTCGGAGCGAGTGATCAGTCATAAACATTGCCTAATTCTTCTTCTCCCAGATTTCGCAACCAGAGATTAGTGACAGATTAACTTTAATTTTAACAGCCCTCACTGTTCTCAAATTTGTCCCTCCCCTGCTGGCATACTGAGACTAATTGACTGCCGCCTCCTCTGACAGCGCAGCGGGTTTGACCTTGCTTTTAACACAGCACCAAAGCCAAACGCTCCCATGTGCCGGGGTACTTGCACCCCAGCCCGGCTCATTTCAGCTCACCACTGTCCCCTCGCAATGTGACAAAGCCATTAAACTGACTCCTCACACTGCTCGCCCTTTCTGAAGTGTAATGTGTCAGAAGATGTCGGGGTTCCTCAGATCTCTCTCTGTCTTGCAAGATGGATGTCGAGGTGATTTTAATCAACTCTATCTACATATAAAAGAGCCTCTGAAAAAACAGAAAACACATCCATCTGCAAAATGTGTTAGAAAACAATCAAGTGCTCTACACGGACATGGGTAAGACAATCCTGTTGTTAAGGCTCTGGACTAGGACAAAAGAGTTTTTAGGTCTTGGGATTTTTTAGTAGCGGATGCGATTGGTCTGTATAAATACACCAGGTGGAGGAGGTCCACAGCAAAGAGGTAGAACAGCTTTTGAAGCTAAAACGATAGCGTTGGCACAAGAATAAACAGATATAAACCAGCCAGAAATAAACAAGACTGAAAATTAGAGGAGGGTTTCTGCTGATCAGAGGAGCTGAAGTGATGGCATACCTTTCCCAGAAAAGCAGCGAGGGCAACACAACCACCTGGCTGCATGCTGGAGCTCAGTATCTTTGCAAGAGGGAATATATGACCACCTCGAGGCAGTAGATCTGTCTTGTTCTATGTCCTTGTTATAGGCAGGGAGCAAACACACAGCATCAGTGCGAACCAGCCCGGAATAGGCAAGGAAGTGCCACTGCTCCATGCCCACAGGCAGGCAAGGTCCTGTGAATTAGCTGCTCTGCAAAAGGCGTTATCTGGATCAGTGACACTTGAAGATTTCTCATCTCGGTAGAAAATCACCAGCAGCTAATGCGATGTAAGTGGGGCATT